TTCCTTAGATTAAAAAGTGAGCTTTAGATACAGCCAGTGAGATTTTGTGTATAACCTAATGAAGTATACATTAAATCCACTTTTATTAAGTGAAAATTTTGATGTTTTTGATATATAATATAAATATATAAATATATATATTTATATAATAAAAAGCCCACCTGAGAGATCTGATAAGTCTAATTATTAATTACATTTTTAAAAGAGTTATTTTATCAGGAATGAATTTAGCATTGAGGATTTTAGCTCACTGGTAAGTGGGAGCTGTGAGTATTTCCCTGGGGAGTAAGTGAGTTGTTGGGGAGACAGGTAGGTCCACAGAACAGGCAGTGGGGGACAGCGTTCCTGGGGTTCCTGTGAAGGTAGTGACAAGTTCTGCAGAGGTGAGGGGCTGAACTACACTGCAGAAGGCTGTCTTGCTGTGTAAAAGGTGTCTCGGGTCAGACCGGAAAGTGTAGTGGCCTAGTTTAGTTTCTTCTCCAGTGGTGACTCTTCCCTGGTTAATGAGATTTCAGGGAGGGGATCTAGAAGATTGTATTCCTTCTGAAGGAACTCCCTGGGGAAGCTTCAGAGGAAGCCCACCCTGTACTTCTTAAGAGAAAGAGGATCCAGAGAATAGGGGAGTTGGGAGGTTAGAGAAACCTCAGGGTGCTTCACAAGTTCAAAGTGTTGAGCATTTTAAATCCTGGTACTTTGAGGTCATCATTTGCTGAGCCCCAGCAGAGCTAATGTATTAGGCAATACTCCCATTTTCACAGTGTGATCACGAGTGCATTGTCTCCCAGGAAGGGTTGCTTAAACACTCATCGGCCAGAGCTTTTACTGGAGACTGGTTACCTAGGCATCCTTTCTGCATTGAGCATACCAGAGCTTCAAATGCCCAGAAAGAAAGCAGGTGTTCAGTCGTAAAGTCCTCCTCTTTTGTACAGTTGAGGTACTTTGAATCGTTCCTGTCAGGATAGGGGGATACCTCCCAAACCCAGGTTACCACATGGCAGCCAAGGACCAACCTGGGCAGCAGGGCTTTCTTAAGTCTTGGGCCTGCTTTTCTACACATATATGTAGGTGAGGGTGTTGAAGAGGAGCCCCCCATTCTAACCACTAGCTTCCCTAAATTCTTCAATTAAAATTTCTATTTTAAGCAGAAGTAAATCCAGATTTCTATTTTGAAGATGTTATTGCTATGATACTATGAAGAATATATTGTAAACCATTGAGAATGAAAATCAGATAACTACATAGTAGCTTAGATGATAGTTTAGTGCTTTTGAAATAAGACACACTGGGAATTAAGAGGGAGGGAATGGATTTAAACTACATGCGTGTATGTATTCATGTATGTGTATATATCTTGGTACTGCAAAGCTACTGTATCAGACAATAATATTAACATTTTCTTTTCTGTGAAAAAGGAAAATTTTTCTAAATTTAGGAACAGAGTCATAAGTCATCAGTTACAAGTTTTGTCATCAGGCAGGGTTTAGGATGTCCCCTTTAAAAAGAGGTTGGGAACTTCAGCTTGATCCGAGCAGGTTCTTAATTGTGCTGAGAAGCATTTAAGGAAGCATCAGTAAGAGGCATGGGCTGAGGAGTTAGGCGGAGGTAACATGTAAGAGAAGATGGGAGACGGTGTGAGCTTGAGAAGCTGAAGCGATGCAACTCTGGTGGATAGAACCAGACTGGCCCGATAAGAAAGGAGTAAGGCCCAGTAAGAGTGAGAGTGGCTGAGGTGGGCCAGGGTCTGGTTGGTGACTGTCTTTAGATCTGGTTTTGTACAGTGGTACCAGAGAGGTCCTTATTGGAGAAGCCCTTGATGTTTAATCTGCTCTGCTCTAGCTAATTATTCCTGTTGGGACAGTCTCTGTTTTGTGGAGGCTGTGCTGGAATCCAAGGTGACCACAGGTTTAGGGCGGTGATTGGACTCTGGCTCCTTTGCTGAAGGTCCCTGTAAATCTTTATTGTGGTGTCATCTTCTTGAAGGGGGATGAGGTATGTTATTTAAATTTAGAGCGAATCAACTTTTTGTTGCCCGCTATTATATATATTTTCTTTTTCTGTTAGTACATGTTTATTCAGTACATTCTTTGGTGTTGCTACAGGTTCACAACGCACCGTCCCTTCACTCCCTCCTCTTTAACCAGCCTATATGCATGGCTAAGCAAGGGCCAGACCCATGTATTTAAGGTAATAAAGGAAGTAGCTCTGAAATGAAGGTCGAGCTTTGTTCCTCTTTCTGTTAGCTAGTGGGGATCTGTAGGCCCAAGTGAGGAATCTTTGTGTTTTTATTTTTCAGCAGAAGCAACTTTCAAATCCCTGACTGCCTTAGAAGAAAGCACAAGTGATGCTTTCAATGAGTAACAACAGGTTAAAGGTCCAGGAGTGAGTTTGTTCTTTGTCCATATACTGATCTCCTTGTTTCAGATTAGTAAATTTAGATGATGGAAATTTAAAAACCCTGACAAAAACGGAAGTAAAAAAAACAGAAACAAACCTAAACTTAAATGATATTGGGAAACTATTTACAACCTGTGAGAGCATTTGTGTTCTTGTTATATTAACAGTTGCAAATTAGTATTTTAAAAATCTTAATAGTCCAATAGAAAATTGACAATGGGCAGTGAAAGAAAAGAGGTAAATGGTCATTTGGTATTTTTCAGTCAAGAACCTTTTAAGCATGAGCAACAGTGAAATACAAATTCTTTCATAAATTAATGGTTTTTAAAAATGATAGTATTTTTAGAAATTGGGAGCGACCTGAAGGTCTAACACTATATTATTTATATAATTTGATAAGCTCATACATTTATATCTACCCATTAGAGTTATTTACTAGACAACATTGACATGATGGTTTTAATGATAAACTATGATAACAGGTTTTTATTGATATATTTTACTGAGTACACACAGACATACATAACACATAGGAAAATACTTTAAAAATCCTTCCTAAGATGTTAACAAGGTGGTAGGATTATGGATAATTTTTATTTTCTTTATGATTAAAAAAAATCCAGTGTATTTGACAGGGGTTAACGTGGACTGTTTGCTTTTTTTTGTAAATAAAGTTTTATTGGAATACAGCCATTTGCATCTACGCTTCATCTAACCGCTTTTGCAGTACAATGGCATAAAAATATTTATTTCTCAGTCCTTTAAGAATGTTTATCAACCATGTGTTGTGGCACACACCTGTAATCCCAGCATGTGGGAGGCTGAGGCAGGAGGACGTCTGGGATTTCAAGGCCAGCCTGCACTACACAGTGAGTTAAAGACCAGCATTAACTACGTAGTGAGACCCTGTCTCTAAAATAATCCCCCCCCAAAAAGAATGCTTATCATACCCCTACCAATAGTGAGTTATATTTTTATATTTAGAAACCAACTTCTTCACAAGTGCAAATATTCTTACATAGTCATAATGTGTTGTAAGAAAAACAGCATTTTTTTATAGTGCTAGAATTTTATTTTCCATAAGCTTCTTGGTAGTCTCCTGCTCAAAAAATAATCTGTAACAGGAGAAATGCTCAGTAAACATTGCTGATACCAAAATGAAGTAATATTTATTTTAAATAATGTAATGGATCAGTGGTTATCCAGGATCGTTATTAGCTAATATCTTAATATTCTGAAAAAATGATGACTTAATAGATGTAGAAAATTCAGAAATGATTTTGTTACTATTATCAAAGGATTAAAGGGCAGACATTGATGGAAGTTAGTGTCCTTATTACTTAAGGGTCATTCTAGAGTGTATATATAAAAGATGATTGGATGATGAAACTTAAGCAGAAAAAAACCAGAAAGGTTTGAATCCGAGAGGATGTGTTGGCAGCTGCTGAGTGTCTGGATCTGTACAGAAAAGCTGTACAAGATGGTCTTGACAGGTAAACAAGTGTTTTATGGCTTGTAATTGACCACTCAGGTTTGGAGAGTTTTAAGTGTTTACCTAAACCATAAAGAGTTTAGTTGAGCCTCGATTTGCCACAGGTTTATCTGAGAGGAGCACCTAGGCTTGTCTTTAGCCTTTCTTTTTTTCTTAATGTGATGCCATGGAGGTCCCAAGAACTTGGAGCAATATCTGGCATTTAAGTTTTGACGTAACCCATAAATGCATTTTTAATGAACTGTTTATAAAGTTGTATTACATAAAGTAGTAAGCTTTGTTCTAGATAACAATATTTCAAGAATGTTTTGGGAACATTCCGGCAGTGGTTGACATTGTTTTACTTTGTGAACTTTGAGAATCTACCGGTTCTGTGATCTTACGGTATTTTGTTTTAATTCTGTTTGAGCATTTCATCTAATTTACCTACTTTAGTAGAACTAGGTAAAGTTCAGCCAGTTTTTCTCCAAGATCTGTTTACTGAGCCTGGATAAGCTTATTCTGATCCAGCTGAAACTAGAAAGGGAGAGCATCTCCACTGCCCTCAGGAAGGCCCGCTGTGCCTTCAGGCTGGACTTGGAGAGTGGGGTCTAGTTCAGCACCTGTCCAGAGTGCTCTCAACTCTTCCTTTGTGGATTAATGTCATAGGGTGATTCAAATGTTAAATTGCCACCAACTCATCACATACTCAGATTCAAAGGAATATATCCAAGTATCTAAAATACTTCTAGAAAAATATGAAATAATTATTTTTTATTCTCTCCCAGTGTTTTCTTGCACTTGTTCATGATTTGAGTGTTACTCATTCCTGTATTTATGATAGATCTTCCAACCTTGATGGATTAATGTAGGTAATCTCAACATATTGATTGTAATTTTCTTTTGAAAAGGAGGAGTTGAGGATGCTATACTCCAAGATGATAGAATGCTAAACATACTCAATAGAATATTTGTATTTTTCAGGGTCATCTTATAACCCACTGAATAATATCATGGTATTAGTGATTGAAATCTGTTGCTCTTTAAACTGGAAAAGTCCTAACCCTCATATGAATGGTATAATTGACTTTTATAGTTTGCATAATTATGTAAAATTTATTCTTTTGTCTTCTAGTCTATTCGGCATTTGAAATACTCAGTGTATAAGAAATCGCTACTGGGCAGTGTTTCAGATAATGGACTAGTAACTCTCTGGGACGTGAATAGTCAGAGTCCGTACTATAACTTCGGCAGTACACATAAAGCCCCAGCTTCAGGCATCTGCTTTTCCCCTGTCAATGAATTGCTGTTTGTAACCATAGGCTTGGATAAAAGAATCATCCTCTATGACACTTCATGTAAGAAGTAAGTGTGAGAGACTCATTTCTCAATTTAGTAACAAGTAATTACTAAATCATTAACAGACATACAATATTTGTCACTCAGACTTCTGATTAATGTCCAGGAGATCTAATGTTTGCGACTAATACAATTGAATTTTTTTTTCTTCTCATTCAGAACAAATAGGGGAGTGGATATCAGTATATTTCTGTAAAGTGAATGTTAGGGATCACGTCTTAATGATTTCACATCTTTAGCATACTTCTTTAAAGTATAACTAAATGTATTTTTAAAGTGTTACGATTAATTTGCCTTAACGTTCATTTTCTGTAGCAAAGTTTGGGCAGAAGGTTCTTTGTTGCAGGTTGCTGTCTTGGGCATTGTAGGGTGTTTATCCTTGGCCTCTGCTCACTAAATCTCAGTAACATTCCCTGAGTTGTGACAGCCGAAACAGTCTAGAAATTGCCACATATCTCCAGGGACGAAATGGCCCCCACTTAGTATATACTCTGCTGAGTGTGCTCTTGTGCCCCTTTTTCAATTATAGATCTGTTTGATTATCTACCCCGCCCAGACTCCCACAAAAACCAGTTGCAAGAGTGCTGCAGTTGCTTTCAAGATGACTAAAAATCTAAAGACCATGTGGGATGTTAATGTTGCTGTTAGAGAGTAATAGGGGCTCCCAGGCCTTGTTATGATGGTAGAGTTTTTTCTGTTCCCAGCCACTGTTCTCTTTTGAAATGCTTCACTGAGAGTCCTGCGTGTATGCCGTTCTTCACCTGTAGGAGGCAGCAGCACCGTGCTCAGCTTCTGATCAGATCAGTGTCCTTTCTCCTGGTGACCTCAGGCTCATGGACTCTGTTCCTCTTAGCTCTTTGGTCCAAAGCAGCAGCTGCTGCTCTGTGAAAGGTCACGGTCCTCCCGAGACCTAAGCAGGTCAGTCAGTGGAAGGTGGATACTTAGAGCCTCCTCAGCCCTGAGGCTGGAACTTTGGTTGGTGGAGTAGCATGCAAGAGTCCATCACATTCACTGCCAAAGTAGTAATTCTGGGAGAAATAGGTGCAGTTCTGGAAGATGTAGACTGTACTTGTTAGAGGTGAATAGTGAATAGGGTGCAGTGTTCAGCAGTGCTTTTTTCAAATTTTTATTATTTTAAATATATCTTATTAGTGCTTATTTTACAAAATATTGGTGTTTCCATAATTTTACAAAATGTGGTGTTTCCATAATGCTGTTCAGCCGTTCTTTACCTATTATTTTATTAGAACTGTATCTAAGACAGCCTGAAATTCTACTTTAAATAAGTACTGGGGCATGTATGCTATTTGCCCAATGCCGAATAATTTGGTTTTGAAATACTATTTCATACAAGCTTCTGTGCCTGGATATACAGACGTATGTGCACACACTTTGCTTCCCTCCCCAAAGGCTAGTGAAAACTTTAGTGGCCGAGACACCTCTGACTGCGGTTGATTTCATGCCTGATGGAGCCACTTTGGCTATTGGTTCTTCCCGTGGGAAAATATATCAGTATGATTTAAGGATGTTGAAGTCACCGGTTAAAACCATCAGTGCCCACAAGACATCTGTGCAGTGTATAGTGTTTCAATGCTCCCCTGTGCTTACGAAGGTGAGATACTGTCTTTGAGCATTTTTTATTTTACAAAAAATATGAAACTGTGTTGTCAAAGTATGGTATTATTTCATAATTTTATTTGATAGCATTTTAAATGATTTTAGTATAAAGCTATTTGATTCTTAGTTTTAAAATGTTTTTGGTGCTTAGTTCTTATATATCTCTGAGTATTTTAAAAGCTTGTTTTGGTACACAGGGAAACTCCGCTCCACAAGTCAACTTAACATCTGTGAGGGACAGTACATTTTAACAGGGGATTTATAAAATATTAATGTATAGTATGAAACGTTAGTAACCTGAGTGTTTGGATGTTCCATTTCTTTTCAGTCAAGTTTAAGTAAAGGCTGCTCAAATAAGGCTGTGGCAGTGAATAAACGGACTGTTACTGTGAGCGCAAGTGTGGGGGGAGCGCAGAATTCTGGAACTGTCAGAGAGGCAGCCCCCGCTGCCATTGCCACAGTTCTGTCACAGCCCCTGCCAACAGCTGTGGCAAAAGGAGGTGTTACTGCTCAGGACAAAGCAGGTAAATGTTACTTCTCTAGTATTTGAAGGTTTTCTCCTTCCCCAAATATTTATACTTAGCAATTTCTTTAGAACTTAGAACTCAAATTACATGTTTTTGAAAAGTTCAGAAAATGCTCTTGTTCTGTTTATTCTATTTGGTGCACTTTTGTTTGTGGTTCTTTTGTTTGTTTGTTTGTTTGTTTTTGCTACTGGGGTTTTAACCCAGGGGCTTTGCACTGACCTATATCCCCAGACCATTTTTCTTCATTATTTTTAGACATTGGCCTTGTCAAGTCACTAAGTTATCCAGGCTGGGCTCAAATTTATGATCCTCCTACCTCAGCTTCGTGGGGTGCAGGGATTACAGCCATCCTACCTGGCTTTGTGTATTTTTTGTTTCATTTTTGGTTCTGGAAATCAAAGGCTTCAAACATACAGGCAAGTTCTCTACTAGAGGAGCTACATTTAGCCTGCAGATGAACTTCTTGTGTGAGAAATAATGATTAGCTTAAAAATGGAATGATGGCACAGAAATCACTCACCTTTAATACTGCTACAGTCTGTGAGACTTTCCATTGTGTTGTTGGTACAGAGCATGAAACTTTGATGCTGTCATTATTATTTGACTTCATGGTGAAAGAAAAGTTATTAATGGCTCCTTTTATTTCATATCTTGGAGTAAAAAGTAAGGTGATAAAATGAACGTTTTTAAGTGCTGAAGAGTGCCGGCACATGTTAAGCAGAATATAGTTTGTTAAATAAAGATAAATGAAAATGTTGTACCTTTTTAAATGATTTCGTCCATATGACAATCATATTGGTGAAACAGTTCTGAAAGAAGAATTCATTTAGGCTTTACAGAGGTATAATACAATCATGCATTTCACCACATTTACTTTGCAAATTTGACCATAGTAAAGATCGTATGCTATAAATTCTTAAAGATTTTTCTGTTTGGATTTTAAGAAGTTATGCTGTACTGTCAGCTGCAGAAGAGTTTTTAAAAGTCTATGTGGTATATCAGTGTTTTGAAAGATTATGCTCAGTGGAAATATATATATATATATTGGGACAAATATGTGCACAAAAATATTTGTTAATATCCTTTCTGTATAAATTTACTGTTTCCAAGTAGCAGCAAAACTTTAGTTTTCTGACCACAGTAATTTAGAATAGATTTATAAAATAATAAGGTAATTCATTATCACTTTTCCTGTGAATATCTATATCACCTTATAGAATAAAAATAATACAGAAAAATGCAAGTACTGTAATTAAGTCCTTATTTAAGAACTCTTGGGGACAGCTACTATTGTTATTTACCTAAAAGAAATTCTTTTTGAAATAGTACCTTGAATAATATCTGCTAAAATGTTGAAATAACTATGTGTTGAAAATTGCCATTATTTTCAAAAATTTTAATAATTCATAATTTTTAAAATAAAATTTTCTCATGGTAAACTGAAGTCTCACTGTTTTTTAGTTTTTAATAGGTAGTTTCTTAAAAAATGACACTATTAGGAAATGAATGACATGGGTCTGCTTGGTCACTGATGAGTGATAATTCTTGGCAAATTCCCAAAATTTCTGGCAAAATAAATGTTCTCACCCCCACACAGAGATTTTTATTAATTTGATTTTGAAATAATTGCCCTGAGTTTTACCCTTTAGCAATTCACCACTTTGAGTTTTGCTTTATTAGCTTCATTGTTTTCTCTCTCACTCTCGAATACATAGGCACATTTTTTCCCAGAAGTGTTGAGAGTAGTTAAGACTACTCCCAGGTCTGTCACTTTCTACCAGGACAGCTTTAGGCAGTGTTTTTTGTCTCATTTTCTTCCCTCTGTACGCTGAGGTAATATTTAAGTTTTGGGATTATTGTGAAAAATCAAACAAAATGCCCAGCACATGATGGACACTCAGTAAATGATTTTCTTGATAAAATCATTGTCATTAATGATTGTCACCATCACCATTGTTATTGTAAGCTTTGTGTAAAGTTTGAGCTTGAAAGACTTGTTGCTTCTACTGAAGGTATCCTCATTTAGGTGTTGTAAAGAACCTCCACAGCTTGTTACTGGTGTTCATTTTTAGTAGGAAAAAGAGCCATTAAGAAATAAAAAATAAGGTCTTAACACTGTTTTAGCTGCTGTCAAACTGCTGTTTTGTAAAGTTGCAGAGGCTAGAGCTAGGCGTTCAAACGCATTAAGAACCTAGAGAAAAGGAAAGGAAATTTCCTCACTATAACAATTTAACTCATGGTGTGAACATGAGTTAGTTATTGTGATGTACAAATGATATTGTTATGTTATTAGGGAAGTTTATTTCATTAACCAGGCCTGGGTGGTTCTGGATATGCAATGTACTGTCTCTCCTTTGTTTTCATCTGAGGCTTTATGGTTTTCATTTGAGCCTGAGATGCCTAATAAAACACTTTTAAAAATATAGTACAGCAACATGTTACCAGTCTAGAAACACATTTTCATCTGTGTCTTCAATCTCAAGAATTCATTCTTTAACCCAGAAGCAAGCAAGAAGCTACAAAGCCTGCAGGGTTCTTAGAAAATCCCTGCCCTAAAGCAGTGTTACGAACTGCCAGAGGAAACCGACTGCTGCAGCCGTTTTAGTTGCCTGCTGTCTTCATGAGTCTGATATTCTGGTTTCCTTGCTCTTGGTGCTGTACAAAAGTTAGTGAAGTCATTTGTAATCAGTAATGCTGTCAGTGAAAGAGAATGGGGAGAAGAGACCCATTAGCTGAGAATAGGGAGCTAACATTGAATCCCGTTTTGTGTTAGGCATGTTGTGTGTATGCTAGCAGGCTTTCCCCCCATCATCATTTCTAGATGACCATGAGTTAAATCAAAGGCAAGTTATGTTCAGTATACTTTAAGAGAGCAGAAAAATACAGAAACTGTTTTAAAAATTTTCCTCTTCAAAATGGCTAAAATAAGGTGTTGCAGTATGAACAGATAAGCTATTTGGCTTTGAGGAACCCTTCATTCCCTGAAAGTGTTGGCTAAGTGAATGGTTGTCATATTTGGCTTTCTCTGATGCTCACAGTTGAATAATTCCAACAGTGTGATAATAGTGGCTTCTATCTTATTTATTAAGGTACAGGAACACTGATTTTTATATCAAATTCTTCTAAGGTTTGCCTCGAAGCATAACCACAGATATTTTGTCCAAGGAAACAGACAGTGGAAGAAATCAGGATTTCTCCAGCTTTGATGACACAGGAAAAAGTAGTTTAGGTGACATGTTCTCACCTGTCAGAGATGGTAAGTGTGTTTGGGTCATTGGATCTGTTCTATGTTGGTGGTTATTGCATTTTCATTCTGGCTGAAAGATGTGGCTAATAGCTTCCATCTTTCTTGATTCATGGTAAGTTGTTGATTTTCTCAATTCCTGTGGTATCTTTTACTCTTAATATTTTGAAAGTTATAATTCTAAAAAATATAGTAATTTTCACATGGTAAATGTGCACATAATTTTCATCTTTTAATTTTTAAAAAATTTTCTTTTATTGTGGTGCTGGGATTCAAACCCAGACCCTTGCTATGCCACACAAACATTCTGTCATTGGGCATGTCCCTAGACGCTACACATTTCTTGAAGTTTTGCCTTCATCTACTTCTAAATAAATCCCCATAAAATCATACATATTTTGATATGCAAAAAATAGCATCTTGACTTAAAGCATTTAGGATTATTTGTGTTGAATTACTCTTTATTAAATGTCTTCATGAAGTATCTGGCTAGGAGATTGTCTCGTCTTTTGCATTATACGTGAAAGTGCTCTCTTTCTGTCTGTCTATACCACCCCACACCCATAATGTAATATAAATGTTACCATTGAAAAAGTCTCGGAGGATAGCTGTTAGTTCGAGACCAGCCTGGGCTACCTAGTGAGTTCAAGGTCAATCTCAACTACATGGTGAGACCCTGTCTCAAAACCACCCCCCAAAAAAAAGAAAAAAAGAAAAAGTCTCTGGCAGCTTGATCAGTGGATATAATATACATCATCATTCATAGTGTATGAACTAGCACACTATTCAACTGCCCTTTTTTGGTAGTGATGTTTATACATTTTCCTTAATGTGGAAAAGTCTCATTGCTAGTAGTAATATTATCAGTAATATTGGTAAATAACTAGAAGATAATTTGACAATTAAATTTTTGGCCTGGTAATTTTGTTTCTACAAATTTCTCTCAGAAAATACTTCGAGAAGCTTGCAAAGATTTGTGTATTTACTGTTTTATTTATAGTTGGGAAAACCTGGAGAAAATCTGAGTGTCACCTGTAGCAGGTGATAAAAATTGCCTTGTCAACTTGTGATTTTATGCAATATTTTTACTTTACAATTGTCTTTCCCAAGTTTTTTACATTTCATAATCAGAAGGAATAAATAATGGGCGATAGTCCAGGATATTGTGCCTTCCTGGGCCTGAAAATATCTGCTTAAATTCCCAGGTCCTACTCCCCTGCCTTCCATTTAGTGGAGGAGGTGAGCTGCATAGTAAGGGTAGTGCAAGGGTGTGAGTGGGGCACTGAAGACAGGAAGGCTTGGGGTGGGCCCTGAGCCACAGGCTCCCTGTTCTCCTTCCTCTGCAGAGCCTTGGCTTTGGAGGATGGGTGAACGGGTTTTTTGAAAGTGTTAGAGTTACACATTTTATCTTCTGTAATGGTTTTTAAGTGAAATAAATTAGTTTTGTTGTTTTTGTAAAATGTGATTAGAATTTGAGGCTTTTGCCCTTCATTAGGGTTTTATGTTATTAATAAGGAAAAACATGGATACTAAAAATAATGCTGATTTTCATTGCCAAAGAATTTGTCAAAAAGATGTAACTATTTTAATAAAAGCCATGATTTCTTCATGCCTCAACTTCTTCATCTTTAAATAAGTAGAAACTGATACTTGATAAAAATGTATGTGTGTCAGCATGCAGTATACAGATCAGGTAGTGCAGTTAGACAGTGATGACAGTGCTTCTAAGACTGACAGCCATGTGATTATTGACTGTTTGACGCTGGCGAATTTGTGCATGGGTTTTGCTCATCTTTTTATTAATTCATTAAAATTGACATAAACAGTTTTTGTCCCTGTACTGGTAAATAAATAGTACAGTATTGAACAATATAAAACCGTATTTTTTTATAACACCATATTGCTTGCAAAATACTTTTTCATTGTTTCAGTTGATCCTCAAAACTTCTGAGATGGTCAAGCATTATCCCCATGCTAAAGATGGAGAGACTGAAGGTTAGTTGAACTACAGTGAGAAAGCATTAAACGCAGCAGGCAAAACTGAGCTGTGAATCTCTAGAACCTGTTTCATGGCTTGTTCTGTACTTTGTTGACTCATACCATGGAAGTTTTCATCTTTGCTGCTGTGCACGAAACTAAAAGATTGAAAATGGAGCTTAAATGAGTTCTAGCTATAGTCTTTAACCTCTCTCATATATTTCTTCTAAAGGGCACTAGTCTCAGAACTCTTTAGAGAAAGTAGGAAACTTCAGTTGCTGTGACTTATTTTTCACTATTTTAAAATGTGATTTTCTTATTTTGTTCCAGATGCTGTAGTTAACAAGGGAAGTGATGAGTCTGTAGGCAAAGGAGATGGTAAGAACTTCTTAGAAGTATTTTAAAGAAAATTATAAGTGATACTGTGTTATCTATTGCTATGTAACAAGTGATACCAACATTTTGAGGCTTAAAAGGAGAGTAAACTTTTATCGTGTAATTATTTCTGAGTTAAGAATCTGAGAATGGCTTGGCTTGGATGCCTTTGGCCTCAGATCTTCTTCACTCTAGGTATCTGCCAGAGCTGCATTCAAAAAAGTGAAAAAGGGCCCCAAGGTAGAAGCCACAGTATGCTTGTAACCTAATCTTGAAAGTCACATTCCACTACTTTTTTCATTTTCTCTTTGTTAGAAGGGAATTTCTAGGTGTGGTTGATAATCAGAGGGAAGAAGGCATTGATGAATGTTGAGAAGGCAGGGGTCAGAGGAGCCATCTTAGAGTCTGTCCTCAGATATGAACCAAACTAACACTCCTTAGTTATGAAAAACTAACGCATTCCTTGTGTTTTTGTAATTTTCAAAGTATTTTCACATATTCTTTTGAGCTTTACTGCTGTAAGAGATGGATATCATTATCCACATTGGTAGATCAGAATATGGAGTTTCAGGAGTTTTAAAGACATGCCCAAGCATACACATCAATTAAAGGGCACATTTGAGAAACAGCTTAGTCCTCTGAATTGAAATCTCAGGTCTTCTGCTGTATTAGTCTGCCTAGCAGGTTAAGTGCCTCAATAACGTATCCATGTGCAAATGTAATCTTTTGCTCTTTCAGGCTTTGATCTTCTCCCACAGTTGAGCTCAGTGTTTCCTCCAAGAAAAAATCCAGTAAATTCAAGTACTCCAATTTTGCATTCTAGTCCTCTTAATGTCTTTATGGGATCTCCAGGGAAAGAAGAAAATGAAAATCACGATCTGACAGCTGAGTCTAAGAAAACATATCTGGGAAAACAGGAACCTAAAGACTCCTTAAAACAGGTATCTACATGCGAATGATGCTGAATTCCCCCTGCATGCCTGTCAGTTGAAAGCAGGCTGCCAGGGGATGTATCCTAATGATTGACGGTGCTCCATATGCACTTACTAGGTAGAAAAGACTCTTCAGTCCTGATGTCACCTTTTTTTATGTGATGAGAGACGGCTGGGGTTAGAAGCCAAGGTCTCACGTATGCTAAGAAAACACTGTATCACTGAGCTGGGCCTCCAGCCTGTGTCGTAACACTTTAATAGCTAAAAGACGCTTTGCAATCTGTCTTTGGATATATGAGAGTACCAGCAATTGTAAAAGTAAGTGTTTTTTTCTAAAATGATAATCTGTCTAAGAACATATTACAGCTGCTTTTAAAATACATTTTCTTCGCAGCATTAAGCATGAAGTTGGTAATCAGGTCACTTACTCTAGGACAGTGCAGAATTGGTGGTGCTGAGAATGGAGCTCATCATCAGTACTTTTGCTAAAAACACAGTATTGAACATGGAACATAATTGCTTACGTAGGCGTTCAAAATGGTCAGATACTATAGGAAGAGCAAATGTTAGGTGTGTGATATGTATTTTCATATCTCCTTTTTAGAGTAATATTGCAGTTAACATGTAGCAAGTACAAAAATGTCTTTTATTTTTTAAATATTTTTGTCTAGTTTACCACATGAGAGCTTAGGGATTTTCTTTTTCTTTTTTTTTTTTTTAATTTCTTTTTTGCCAATGATTTGAATTTTAAATTATATTCAACAGCAGATGCTTGAAAATTAGCTTTTCCTTCTCATTGTTGTGATTATTTTTGATTAGTAGACTTATTTTGCTGCTGGTCCTAATATCTGTTTTACTTCTTTTAAATCTTTTCCTATTCTTCCTTCATTTCCCTTGTCCTACCTACTGCACAAAAAAGTGGAAAGTACATAAACTTTTAGAAGTATATGGGTAAAGCAAATTATAATTAAAATAATTGTCTACTTTAAATGTGAAGTTTGCAAAGTTGATCTCTGTTGCTGAAGCTGGAAATCTGAGTACCTCTCCATCCTCTAACCAAACAAGAAATCTCGAGAAATTTGAAAAGCCAGAGAAAGAAATTGAAGCCCAGTTGATATATGAACCCTCAGTAAATGGATCCTCAACCCTAAGTAAGTTCATAAAGCTTCCTGATGTTTGACAGTGTTCAGTTGAATAACCTTCCCATTATTTAACTTGGAAAGGATAGAATGATCAGAGACTTAAAAAAGAGCCCAAGGAGTTTAAAGTTTATGGACATTTTTACAGTGTGACTTTATTACTGGAAGGCAGTGAAATGTATATGGTGGTTAAGTCCAGCAACATTGATTTGTTCATTTGGTGTGAATTTCATTTTCAATCACCTATATAAGGCTTTGATTTAATATGGTATATATAGAATTATTTTGTAGGATTATTTGAAAAGGAATGATAACTTGGAATTATAAATTTTTTCCCTTTTTCATATTAAAGCCTTACTCTTAGAATTTATGTCACAGAGTCATAAAAACTTGATAACATTTAAAGGGCTCTTAGGTTCACCTTTAAGAGTAACCTATACAAAGAGAACCTTCATAGAGAAGCAGCTCTTTTATATGGGTATCTGTATTGTACTTTAAGGTTTGCATGGATGTGTTGTGTTGGCTTAAACTCTAGGGCTTTAGCTGTAGCACTACTTTAGTCCTGTGTTCCTTCTGTTTGTTTTTAATAGTCTTGGTTTATCTGGTTCGTGGTACAGCTTGTCACATTCATCTTTTATAAGAAGAAATGGTTCAGAGATTCTTCACGATGAATCCCTCTGTCATATGTTACTGCATTAGACAGTTGGCAGTTTATATATATAGATAAATGACTATTAGAAATAATGTCATAAAAATTTTTTAAATTTGTATTCCAGACAGTGAATTTTTCTAAATGTCACAGGAACCCAGTGCTTTGCCAGTTTTTCAAATTTCTTCATGCCAAATCTTATTTAGAAATGTTTGATGTCTCCTAGTTGACTATTAATATTTTATCCATTCCTTCTTTATTTTAGATCCGAAGATAGCATCCTCTGTCACAGCTGGAGTGGCCAGTTCCCTCTCAGAAAAAATAGTCGATACGATTGGAAACAGTCGGCCAAATGCACCATTGACATCTGTTCAAATCCGCTTTATTCAGAACATGATACAGGAGACATTGGATGACTTCAGGTATAATTGAGAAATTACTCTTTCTATGTAGATCTTATATTTTTGTTGTTTCACTAGATGAGAGTAACTGTGTACATAATGCTGGTAGTATCTAGGTTCTGGTAACCACAAAGCCGTAGAAAACATGATGAGTTTTTTAAGGCTGATTGCACTGCATTTATTGACCATCAACCAGAAAAGGACACATTTACCTAGAGCAATTATCACGTAACTTCACAAGGAAGTGTAATGTGCAGGCTGCTGTTGTGGGTTCTTTAAAATTATCAGCAGAATCTTGTAAACTCAAATGTAGTTCTTACATGTGATAGTTATAGATCACCTATTAAGTGTGCTATGTGTGCAATACAAAGAAAGGTATTTTAAAAAAAATCATAATTTCAAAATATGCATCAGAATGTAGTAACACTTAACATAAAAATTTTTTCCTTAATGTAACTTTGTCTTTTTTTTTTTTTTTTTTTTTTTTTTTTTTTTTTTTTTTTTTTTTTTTTTTTTTTTTTTTTTTTTTTTTTTTTTTTTTTTTTTTTTTTTTTAAACTGGGGATCAAACTCAGGCCTTTGGGTTTGCAAGGCAGGCGATGGAACCACTGAGCCAAATCCCCGGCCCTAACTTTGTCTTTTTGTTGTTGTTTTGTTTTCTTCTGTCTCACCATGTAGTTCACACTGGCCTTGAACTCACTGTGTAGTTAAGCTGGCCTTGAACTTGTGGTGATCTTCCTGCCTCAGCCTTCCAAGCTGAGATTATAAGCATGCACCATCACACTGGGTTTCTAGCCTTATCTTTTCCTCTTTTGAATTATGAATTACAAGAAAATGTGTTCTAGAATGCTGCTGCTTGCTTATTTTAATATTTTGGAAACTTAAATTATTAGAATTTTTTTAACCTTTTTAACCTATAGTTTCTTGGATTATCATGAACAGGATTATTGAAGGTGTCTGGTTTCATTGATACAAATTTATTTTCAATGTTTAAGTTTAAAATATACTTTTAATATTAGAAAAAAATTCCAGCATTTCCAGTATATAGTGGTTTGTGTACAAGATGCTAAGTATACAGAAATGAGCCATCTACCCACAGGCCTTTATAATCTATTTGGGTTAGCTACAGTGTGTCCTGCTGTGTGTGCTCGTTTAATTTGAATTAGTTCACTTGTGATTGGCAAACAGGGCAGTGTTGACAGTATAATGGAGAAACTGTGTTTGTTCTTTAAAGAACAGCATATTAGCATTAGCACACCTGAATACATTAACCCCATCCACATCCCTCTCCTCTTTCTCTTAACTTGGTGTAGCTGTGTGCTCGGTGTTCGAATCACTTATTTGTGATTATGCCCTGTTGTGAGGCATTTTCCTCATGCTTCTGTAATTTGACGATCCCAGTTCTTCTGTGTTCTGTCTCCTTCCATTAAGTAACCATCACCTGGTTAAGGTACTTTATTCAATATTTATCTGTTAAACTTACCAAGTTATTTTTTAACTGTTCTAATATTTTTATTAAGAATTAATTGTTTCTGTGAGTGCTCTGATTACAAAGTTACGTAGTTTTTGAGTGGTCAGCCTCATTCCTTTTTCTCTAGGTGCTGTTATTTTCGAATACTGTTCAGTGTTAAAGAATATGAGGGGTTTTTTTTGTTTTGTTTTTGAGATAGGGTCTCACTATGTAGCTGAGACTGACCTGGAACTCACTATGTAGCCCAGGCTGATCTCGTACTCACAGTGATCCTCCTGCCTCAGCCTCCCGAGTGCTGGGATTACAGGCGTGTGCCCCATGCCCGGCCAAGAATGTGAGGTTTTTTAGGAATACATAAATATTTATGACATAATAGAATATCGGGAGACAGCTGACTGTATTGTGAACAAAATGAGGTTGGAATACAGAAAGGAAGCAGTGTGCTGGGGCAGATTTAGAAGGGTGTAACGAGGTTTGATTTTACACAGAAGTCTGGGAACAACATGAACAGACGTGATCGTAAATTCTAGGGATACCTTAGACAGGAGGCACTGGCAGGAGATGCAGACAGGTAGTTAAGGAGGGTTTAGGTAGTGGAGAGTCTTTAGTGTCTTTAGCATCTTTAGTCACGGGAGTAACGTGGTGCTATTTGTTATGGGTTCAGCAAGCATTTAATGTCTGTTCACTGAGTTTGGATGATTGGAAGGAAGTGGGCTCAGGATTTTCCCTTCAGCAAGCCTGGAGACCTGAGTGCTTGAGTGACTTTATTTTCTCTTTTCTTTATAGCCTAGCTGCTGGCTCTTTGGGCTGCTAGAGGTGGATTCTTTGGCACTCTGATCTCCCTGGCTTTCTCTGCCCTGGCACCCAGTATCAGGATCTCTGTTGCCCTCAGTCTTGTAGGTTGTACACAGCATCCCTATCGTTGGGGTCCTAACAGGGTCAGTATGGAGGGACTCATTCTGCCCTGATGTCCTCAGCTGTGAAGAGCAGCTGCTACCTTCTCCCTGAGGCCCTGGAGTGCTTTCAAGGTGGTGGTCTCGGTGCTCCTTGGCCTGACTCCAGGCTCTCTGCTTCTGTTGCTTGGAGGGTGAGGTCTGTCAGCCCTGTTGCTCTGCTTGTCTGTATTTTTTTTTTTTTTAACATTAGCCCTCAGTGAGGTCTGTGGGTGAAATAAATGTGAACTATATATCTAGGGTTTCTTCAGATTTTTAACTGTCATGAGTCTTCACTTGGCCTTTAAAAGTCTATAAAACTTTAGATCCAGCTGTAGGCCACTGTTCCCTCTTTTTTCCCTTAGTATAGAATCATCACATACTGCAGAAGGAAAGGGGGGTAAATATAGGTCTTAAGTAGTAGACTTCCCTTAGTTACAAGACCATGTCCCTTGAAGTCCTAGCTATATGGCAGGTGCTCTCATACCTTGATTGATTGATTGATTGATTGATGCTGGCAATAAAACCCAAAGTCTCATGCATGCAAGGCAGGCAGTCTACCACTGATCTACACTCCCAGCCCCTCTGATAGCTTTTATTTTGAATTCAGCTTTTTTCATTACAGAGCAGAAGGAATTTTTAGAAATACTTTGTCATTGGAAAAAAATAAGGTACTTGGCATTAAATCTCAAAGATGGTGGAGATTTTTGTAGGAAAAACATTTTAAAATGTATTACAAAACATTAACACTTAAGTAAATGTAAAGATATTATGAAGATGTCAGTCCACAAGTCAATCAAAATATCAACTCAGTTATGCAAAAGATGATGATGAAATGATTCCAAAATACATATATGGAAGAAAAAGGCCCAAGAATGACAGAGACACTCTGGAGAAGAATAAGGTTGAAGGAGGACTTAATCAGATGGATAAGCTTAATTTTAAAGTAAGATTGGTATAGTATTATGTTGACACAGGGTGGTCAGATTAGCCAAAGGGCTTTCCGAGTCTAGAAAGAAATTTGATAGATGACAGGTAACATTGCAGATCTGTGTGCAGACTATGGAATAATCGTTATATTGAGGTATGTGATTGTTTGTGTAAAAATAAATGTAGATCTCTATTCCATACTATTCAAAAAATCAATTCTGTATTTTAAAAAGTTTAAATGTAAGAGGCAAATTTTAGGTGGTATAAGAGTTTATAATTTCAGGGTAGAAAAATGATTAGTAATAAGGAAAAACAATACTCATAAAAATAGATTGGTAAATTTGACGCAGTATTGTTAATAAATCTGAGTTATTGATAACTCTCATCATGAGGTGTCATTAACAAAGTCAAAGGATAAGAAACACCTGTAGTACTAATGCCACTAGCAAAAGATCAGATTATATAAGGAATGCTTAAATGAATAAGAAAAATATTTGAAAAGACATTTTTTTAGAAGAGGAATTGTACATGAACATGAGGAAAAAATGTTCAATCCCATAATTAGTCAGAGAACAGAAAATGCAGTAAGATGCCATTTCGTACCTGCTAAGTAGGAAATGATACCAAGTCCTGGTGAGGATATGGAGCACAGAGAACTGTTGTATTGATGATGAACGTATTCACTAATATTACCACTTGGAAAAACAATTCGTGTGACTTTATAAAACTGAACAAGTGTACACCTGGGTTTATTACTGGATATATCTGTGGGTATTGATATTTGTGGATTAAGAATTATATACATGATTGTTTTATAACAACATATCTAATAAAAACTTGAAAATCAAGTATCAATTGACAGGAAATTGGGTATGCCAGTATAAAGCAGTGAATTAATAGACTATGAACTTGAAAGTGTGTTATCTCTCCAGTATAATCTGCTGAAGACTGTAGATATACTTTTGTAATGCCCCAAAACAAGCACAATAAAAACAGATTAAATACTACTATTCAAATACAGTTTTGTTTGTTTGTTTTTGGTACCAGGGATCAAACTTGGCCCCTTGTTCTTGTGAGGCAGGCGGCAGCACCACTGAGCCTCAAATACAGTTTTTTAAGGAAAGCATTTCTTTGCTCAAAGTTCAGGGAATTACAGCTTCTTTCCTGGGATTTCTCCCCAACAGTTAAGTGATTGTATCAGATAGGATATCAGTTTCTCTGACTTGATAAAGTTCTAGTTCCTTAGTTGTATTATGAGTGACCAGTGTTTCTAATTTTCATGTGTTCTTTTGTAGGCGTGAATTAATTGCATTTTATTGAGTAAATCATGTTCCAGCCACCCACATTTCTACTGGAAAAAAATTTTTTTGTAGCTAAAACATTGATAATTAGGTGATCTTTGTAATCTAAAGAATTGTTTCTATTTCTTGTGTTACAAGTCTGTATCTTTCTTTCATGATTACTTCTATCTAAAGGCATACAGTACAGTAGGAGAGCCACAGGCAGACAGCTTGAGTTTGCTTCCTGCACCACCATTTGTCAGTTAGGTGGCTGTGGACAAGTTATAACTGGCTCAGTGACTTAGTTGGTAAAATGGAGGAAACGATAGCTCCTAATTGTGAGGATTAAATGAGTTCTAATATTTGAAGTATAAGAAATAGTGCCAAACACACAGTTAAGTAAGGGTTGAATGCATTGTTATTTTTATTTTGGATAATTATCAAATGTCCAGTAATTGACAATAAAATTTTTTCTCGAATGATCTAGAATTGCCGAAGTGTTAGCCTTCTGACAAATGTTTCATATTTTTCTCTAGAGAAGCATGCCACCGGGACATTGTGAATTTGCAAGTGGAAATGATTAAACAGTTTCATATGCAACTGGTATGTACGGCAGATTATCTTCTAGGTGAATGTAAAGTGGTGTGGATCTCAAAACAGTTCATTGTAGGGTAATGCATTTTTGTTAATTGCTAAGATAGTTTCAGAAATTTAATAAGTAAAATAGATTTTAAGTGGTCACTTTTTTTTTTTTACATAATAATTAAGGCTACTTTTTAACAGCTTTTTTTCCCTTCAGTAAGTGGAAAGCTGCCCAAAATCTGTGAATATAAATCTTCCACGTTACCAGTGGCTTTTGGAGTTAAATACGAGCGATACCATTCAGCTAGTTAAATGAACATGCGAGAAATGATAGCTGGGAGCATAGAAATAAAGCATAGCTTGCCAAATGATGTGAAATACCAGTCATTTAAAAACATTTCCCTTTTTCCTAGAACGAAATGCACTCTTTGCTTGAGAGATACTCAGTGAATGAAGGTTTAGTGGCTGAAATAGAAAGACTACGAGAAGAAAACAAAAGACTACGGGCCCACTTTTGAAATTTCAGTGACTACCTTACTTTTTAATAATTTTTGAAGTTTTTGGCAACACAGAACTATATAAAATCAGTATTGTGTTCATGACCTCTGGGGGAAATGATGTTTTCAGGTTCAGGCTGTTGAGATTTTGTACCAACCATTATTTCATCTTCTTTGTCAAAAATATTTATATTTTTATATTAAATACTACAGTATATCATCTGCCTTAAGAAAATTCACAGGGTCTTTATTTTCTGAAAGCTTTAACTATATACTAAGTGCCCTTTTTCATGAGCGAATAAAATTTCATAAAAGTAGTTTCATAAAAAATGTTTGGTTTTTAATTATCTTTTTTTACTGATACATATTTTATTGACAGATGACCTTAGAAATTTTTGGGGTGTAACTGAAATTTAAAATTTTCATATGCTTTCTATTTTTATGCAGAAAAAAAATTTAAATGGCATTTGATTTTTTAAAAGCCACTGATGAGTAAAAGAGTTGGCTAGTAATTATTTTATTAACTTGATGACATCAAGTATGACTATTACTGTACATGTGCTAAGTTTTGAAATTTTGAATTGTACAAATAAACTATGTCTTGTGCATTTATGCTACTGTACTTCTAGCTCTCTACTGCTTGGTGTTTATTAGCTAACTGTGAGAGCTGATATGTCTGCTGATCATTCTATGAATTCCTAATATTTAAATTTATACTACAAAGTTTTCTTCACAATGACTCAGCATGCTATCAATGGAAATTGCATATTAGATTCAAAATACTACAGCATTATTACCACTTCTCCCATTTGAAAAATGTGGATTATTTTGTTTTGTGGTTTGTAGCATAAACTTTCTCTAATTTGTTGTGTGTTGTGAATATTTTAAAATTATTGGCCTTACCATAAAATTACAAAGGTTCACAGTGAAGAGAGTTTTCAGTTCCTTGGCAATAGTTGAACATGTAGAGCTACTATCATATTATCTCTGCTTCTAGTGGTGTGAGGTAAGGGGATCTGCTCGCATGTTTATGTTATTGTTGTCTCTTGTCCAAAGACTTAAACTCTGTATCATCTGGGTAGCTCGGCTGCCCAACTTTGGCTTTGGGGTTGAAACATTTACCAGAATTTGGGAAAACAAAAGAAAAAGAACACACACACAGCCCTAGTTTAGCGTGTTATCTTTGTTTTTCCAAAGTGATGGAAAACACTAAAAATCTTAAGTTAGTGTTAACATACTAATAATTTTTTCTGAAAATAAAAATCAGTGCTTTTACTTTTCCCCAGTACTCCTTAAAGAATACATTTATATTAAAGCATATGGAGGTGTTAATGTAATCTTTTCCTAGCAGATTATCAAAGCCTTATGACTTGTACCAAGTTTTTTCTGTCACTATCCAATAGGTTTGGAAGACATAATGTATAGTATTAGTGTGTTTTGCCTGACTGTTGTATTTAAATCTATTAATATTTTCCTGTTGCCTTTTTCTATACATGCATATAATGTATATTAAAAGAAGTGGGATAAACAATTTTAGTAATTTTATGTGTATAGATGAAACATTTTTGTCATGGATTTAAAAGCTTAAGTACAAAATACAAAAATTTTATATTCAATAAATGAGAGATCTGAAACAAAGCTTTTTTGCCTGTGGCCAAAATGGAATAATAGGGATTGAATTTACTTTCTCACTGTAAATTAAATAATAACAGTAATAAAACAGACAAAATGTGTGAAAATAGTTACAAGATATTGTACATTATGCAGTAAACCTTGAGAGAGGGAAACAAATGGGACCCAAGAAATTCAATGAACTGAAAAAAAGAAATAAGAAGAAAATGCATCAAAGTCCTTAAAACCAGCAACAAGAGAAAATTCTTAAAAGAAGTTGAAGAAAAAGGCATGTAAGAAAAAAGGTCACGGTAGAACAATATTTTTATACACATTTTCTTTTTTTTGCAGTTTATTTTTTATTTTACTTATTAGTACATGTTTGTAGCACATAATGTTTACATTTCTTGTGGGGAATTGTTACATCTTCTTCGTTTTTGCTTTTGGTACCCGGGATCAAACTCCGGACCTGTGCTAATGAGGCAGGTGGTGGCACCACTGAGCTAAATCCCTGGCCCAGGAGTTGGTATATCTTGTTTTTCCTCCCCTCTTCTCTGCTTCTCCTAACTCTCGATCCCCTTCCTGTTTGAGAAAGAGCTATCTTCTGATTTCCTATTAGCAGTCTTTTATTTTGCTCTTTATTTGTATTTTGAGTTTCTCATGTAAGAGAAGCCATGTGATATTTAAGCTTGTGTGTCTGATTTATTTTAGTTAACATTATGGTCTCAAGGTGCATCCGTTTCCTGTAAATCACTCAAGTTATCTTTACAGTAGACTCCGTTGTGTGTATATTTCTTTATTCACTCATCTGCTGACGGACGCATTCTGCTTCCAAGACTAAGCAGTTATTAACTGTGCTGCTGTAACACCAATATGCCTGTATCTCCAATCTGATACTTGATACTGTTTGCTATGCAACTCAGATTCTTTATCAGTATCTTTATTGAAAGAAAAATTTTCCTTTAGAATTCTATATCTAGTGAAAATATGTTTGAGAAACAAAAATGAAACTCTTCAGACTTAGGAAAGTTGAAAAAGTTTATCACAAGCAGAATGAACCAGCAGAAATATTAACGTCTTAGGAGTAAGATGATGCCAGATGGAAATTTGCAACAACATAAAGAAATGAAGAACAAAAAGGTTAATGTGTGAACACAGGATTTTAAAATGTTAATTACTATTTCAAAGATAATAGATTATTTGAAGCAAAACATAAGATATTATGTAGACTTAACAGTGCACCATGATCATGAGGTTGGAAGGTTCCTGAACAACTGGAGTGGGATAGTGTTACCTGAATGTAAACTGTAATAAGCATGTGACCTGTAAATGCTAAATTTAGCAACCAGAAAAAATAACCAATAAATAGCTAATAAATCAGTAAACAAAATGCAATAGTTAAATCCAAAAGGAGACAAAAGAGAACAAACAAATGCTAACATGGTAGATAAATGAATAGCTGTATCCATAATTACATTAAATATAAACTCACTGAACTCATTCATTAGCGATTTCAGATTGAATCTTTAAAAGTCCAACTATAAGCAAGACATGGTGGCAACACCTGTAATCCCAGCGTTTGGAAGGCTGTGGCATGATCACTGCAAGTTCAAGGACAGCTACGTGATGAGTTCAAGGCCAGTCAGAATCACGTAGCAAGTCCCTGTCTCGAAAAAAAGAAAACAAAAAAGCATAACTGTATACTGAATACAATAACCCATTTAAATATAAAAAGAGTTTAAATGTGAAATGAAATAAATATTAGTACACTGAATGCAAATGAAGATTAAAAATTTGTAGGAATTAGGGCAGTAATTATGGAGAAAGTAATCTTATCATCTATCTTTAATCAATGACCTCACTTCTACCTAAAGCCGGAAAAATAAGTGAACTTCAAAGTAGAAAAAGGAAAATATGAAAGTACAATATAATTGGAAAACAAAACCAGTTGAAAAAAATCAGCAAAACCAAAAGTTGTTTATCAATCAGTTTGGTGGCCACATTAATGAGAAGAAGACATCCCCTGCCATTATTAAAACAGCATCACCACAGACTACAGATATTTCTGGCAAAGAAAATGTTAAGTATGAAGGGCTGTATTGGTGAATTCTTTCAAATATCCCAAAGAAGAAAATATCCCAATTCTCAATTAATGCTTATAAGACGAGTAATTCTCAACTCCTTGAGGCCATTACTCTGATACCAAAATGAGGCAGCATCATGACAAGAAAACTGGTTGCTGTTGTATGGATGTGCTCATTTGGTGAAAATGTAAGCCTGTGAAGGAAACTCTTACTAAGGTATGTTAAATTTCAGTGAATACTTAATAAAATAAGACCAGTGGAACACCTAGGAGACAATAGCAAGGTAGTATATTTAAGACCAAAAATACTAGGTATAGATAGAATGTCCACTCCAACTGAAACAGAAAAATTGGCAGAACGGAGATTTTGAAATTTTATAAGCCTGTGAAGGAAACTCTTACTAAGGTATGTTAAATTTCAGTGAATACTTAATAAAATAAGACCAGTGGAACAACTAGGAGACAATAGCAAGGTAGTATATTTAAGACCAAAAGTACTAGGTATAGATAGAATGTCCACTCCAACTGAAACAGAAAAATTGGCAGAGCGGAGATTTTGAAATTTTGAGCTACAGAAAGAACGATAATGGGGAAAGTTACTTGTAAACGAGGCAAAATCTAGCCAAAAGAAAAAAAAAGGTACAATGGAGTGAATTTTAAGCCCCCCCCACCCCTGGAGTTAAAGAAGATACTTCGTAATGTAAGTTTTCATTCACTGGAAAGACATAAAAACTCCAATATTTCATGCACCTAAAGCAAAGGACAAGGTCAACAGTTCCGGGGAAGATTTTAACACATGTCTAAAGGTGATAGAAGAAAAGCACAAAATGTTCGATCAACTTGTTTGCTAAGAGGGTTTTTTTTTTTGTTTTGTTTAATTACAAATGAGTTTTATCAGTTGCTTTTACTGCATCTATATGAACATATAATTTTCCTTTTAATTCTTTGAATATAGTCATTTTATTGATTTTTAAATGTTAAAGCATCCTTGCCCTCTGAACAAACCTCATTCATTAACTTGGATTTACTTTGCTAATATTTAGGATTATTTCATCTATGTTTATGAGATTAACCTTTAACTTTACTTTTTTAGAGCAGCCTGATCAAATCTAAGTATCAAATATATGCTGAATGCTAGAAAAAATTTGCAAATTACCAATACTAGAAAAAATTTGGAAATTACCTAGCAAAATGAGAGGCTTTTGACACTATCCTTTGGACTAAATTCACCCTCTGCTCTAGGCATAGAGAGTGGATGGAATCTGACCACCTTGGTCTAACCAGGCTATTAAGTGAGACAAAGGTGGTTTATAGGTTTGCTGAGGTTCCTTCTGCCTGGGTTCACCCCGTTTCCATACATCCCTCCCAGAATGTCCACTAGGAGCTCGGCGAGTCCTCTGGCCCTTCTACCTGGGGGTTCTGAATGCTAATCTTTGTCTTCTTAGTATCAACTGCAGAACAGCCTTCTGCTTTTGGAATGATTTTCATCTAGATTTTTAGCTTAAAAATTTGGAAACTTTAGCCTTAGAAAATATGTTTTTTGTATATGAGAAATGTTAATTAATAATTGAAAGAGGATGTGAAGCCAGGAGCTAGACTTCTAATGATGGGGAAGGGGACAA